GGGAATGCAAGCTGGTACAGCCACTCTAGAAACAGTATGGAGGTTCCTCAAGACGTTAAAAACAGAGCTACCCCTTGACCCAGGAATTGCACTACTGAGTATTTACCCCAAAGATACAGATACAGTGAAAATAAGGGGCACATGCATCCCAATGTTCATAGCAACAATGTCCACAATAGCCAAACTGTGGAAGGAGCTAAGATGTCCTTCAACAGATGAATGGATAAAGATGTGGTTCATATATACAATGGAATATTACTCAGCCATCAGAAAGGATGAATGCCTACCATTTACATCGACATGGATGAAACTGGAGGGTATTATGCTAAGTGAAATAAGTCAATCAGAGAAAGACAATTATCATATGGTTTCACTCATATGTGGAATATAAGGAATAGCATGGAGGATCATAGGGGAAGGGAGGGAAAGCTGAATGGGAAGAAATCAGAGAGGGAAATAAATTGAGGGTTGCAGAAAGGGAGGTGGGGGGGATGGGGTAAGTGGGTGATAGGCATTAAGGAGGGCACATGATGTGATGAGCACTGGGTGTTATATGCAACTAATGAATCATTGAACATTACATCAAAAACTAATGATGTACATATGTTGGCTAATTGAATTTAAATTTAAAAAATTTAAAAAAAGTAACTACAGGCCAATATCTCTGATGAACATAAATAGAAAAATCCTCAAAATCATTCACCACAATCAAGTGGGATTTATACCTGGGATGAAAGGGTGGTTCAATATTTGCAAATCAATCAATGTGATACATCACATTAACAATAGAAAGGATAAAAAACTTATGATCATTTTAATAGATGCAGAAAAAGCATTTGGTAAAGTACAACATCCGTTCATGATAAAAACCCTCAACAAAGTAGGTTTAGAAGGAACATACCTCAACATAATAAAGGCCATATATGACAAACCCACCTTGTACTTCATACTTAATGGTGAAAAATTGAGAGCTTTTCCTCTAATTTCAGGAACAACACAAAGCTGTCTAGTCTTACCACTTTTATCAACATAGTTCTAGAAGTCCTAGCTACAGTAATCAGACAAGGAAAAAGAATAAAAGGCATCCAAATTGGTAAGGAAGAAGTAAAACATTCACTATTTGCAGATGACATGATACCCTATATAGAAAACCCCAACCACTCCACCAAGAATCTGCTAGAACTGATAAATGAATTCAGTATGGTTACAGGATACAAAATCAAGATATAGAAATCCGTTGCATTTCTGTACGTAAATAATGAAGTAGCCGACAGAGAAATTAAAAAAACAATCCCATTTACAATTGCACCAAAATAATAAAATTCCTAGGAATCAAGCAAGAAGGTGAAAGACCTGAACTCTGAAAACTATAAAACACTGATGAAAGAAATTGAAGATGATCCAAACGAATGGAAAGATATTCCATGGTCATGGATTGGGAGAAGACATATTTTTAATTCCATACTACTGAAAGCAATCTGCAGATTTAATGCAATCCCTGTTAAAATACCAATAACATTTTTAACAGAACTAGAACAAATAATCCTAAAATTTGTGTGGAAACACAAAAGTCCCTGAATACTCAAAACAATCTTGAAAAAGAAGAACAAAACTGGAGGTTATCACAATCCCAGGCTTCAAGATATACTACAAAGCCATAGTAATAAAAAAAGTTTGGTACTGGCACAAAAATAGAGACATAGATCAATAGACTAGAATAAAAAGCCCAGAAATAAACCCACAATTATATGGTCAATTAATCTTCAACAAAGAGACAAGAATATGCAATGGGAAAAAGACAACCTCTTCAACAAATGGTGTTGGGAAAACTGGCCAGCCACAGGCAAAAGAATGAAATTGAACCACTTTCTTAAACCATACATAAAAATAAACTAAAAATGGATTAGGATCTAAATGTGAGACCTGAAACAATAAAAATCCTAGAAGAGACCACAGGCAGCAATTTCTTCTTCTGGAGCAACTTTTTTTCTAGATAGGTCTTCTGAGGCAAGAGAAAGAGAAGCAAAAATAAACTATTGGGATTTCATTAAAAAAAAAAAAGCTTTTGCACAACAAAGGAAACCATCAACAAAACTCAAAGACAGACGGCCTACTGAATGGGAGTAGATATTTGCAAATGACATATCTGATAAAGGGTTAGTATCCAAAATATATAAAGAACTTATCAGACTCAACACCCATAAAACAAATAATCCAATTTAAAAAAATGGGCAGAAGATACGAACAGACATTTCTCCAAAGAAGGCATACAGATGGCCAACAGACACATGAAAAGTTGCTCAACATCACTCATCATCAGGGAAATGCAAATCAAAACCACAATGTGATATCACTTCACACCTGTCAGAATCACTAAATTAAAAAACACAAGAAACCACATGTGTTGGTGAGGATGCCAAGAAAAAGGAACCCTTGTACACTGTTGGTGGAAATGCAAACTCATGCAGCCACTGAGGAAAACAGTATGGAGGTTCTTTAAAAAATTAAGGGAACTAATATATATGTATATAACTAATATATAATATATATTATAAATTATATTTATATGTAATATACATATATTATATAGGAACCATATATATAATGAAATATAACTCAGCCATAAAAAAGAATGAAATTTTGGCATTCACTACAACATGGATGGATCTAGAGAGTATAATGCCAAGTGAAATAAGCCAGTCAGAGGAAGACAAATACCATATGATCTCATTCATATGTAAAATTTAAGAAACAAAACAATAAAGGAAAAAAGAGACAAACTAAGAAACAGACTCTTAACTATAGAAAAGAAATTGATAGTTATCAGAGCGGTGGTGGGTGGGTGGTAAGTGAAATAGGTGAAGGGCATTAATAGTACATTTATCACGATGAACACTGAGTAAAGTATAGAATTGTTAATTACTATATTGTACATCTGAAACTAATACAACACTGTATGTTAACTATACTAGAATTAAAATGTAAAAAAATAAATGAAAAAAGACAAAAATTAAAAAAATTAAAGCCATATTATGATGCAGCTTATTTATGAGATAGTGTTTAAGCAAATAAAATACATATTTTATTCTATAAAGATTCTTGGTCCTACTAAAAGTTTAAGTAGACTAATTTTTCATCATCTCCATGCAAGCTCTATGATTCATAAGATCTGTTGTAATGCGAAAATGTTTTATTTACTCTGTATGTATGTTATTGAAAAAAATTCTAATAATTTATTTTATGTATACTACCTAGTTACTTTTGTGAGAAAGAAATAGGTGACAAAACTGTATAAAGGATTTTTTTTTAACAAATTCTGTATGACAAGAGCCAGTATAGACTTAGCCCTAAACATTGTCCTCATAAAGCACTGTGTCAGTGAAGGATTCCAGAGTAACTAATGAATAAGAAAGCATCATTAAACTAGGATTGTAGTTTCAATGTCATGGTACTTGATTAGTTGCTAATCCATCAAAAATTATCTTCAGTTAACTAAAATAATTCATATAAAGGGCCTAGTACAATGGATGGTATGTAATCAAATTTTAATATTTACTGGCTATTTTGGTAACAATGATAATGTTAAATTAGTTTTCGTTAAGAAGAATATTCATTAATTGGAGTCCCCATTCTTCATTCTATATAATGGATATGTTACTACGTGATGTTTCATTCAACTATGTAAGACAGTGTATCTAAATTTTATAAACAAAAGTTAATTTCAATACCTTGCAAAAAGTTATAGAAAATAAATAAGTTTCATTTTATCTCAGAATTTTGCATTGGCTGCAAATCTTAGGCTGCTCATGAATTCAGAAGATGTCTGGATTTCTTAACACTTTCTATGAGCTGAATTGATTCTGTTCATCTCAGTACACTGTAGAGTAATAGTTACAGCCTTTTTTTTTTTTTTTGCCTTTTTTGCTTATTTTGGTGTTGGGTAGAGGTTTAGAACTCACTGAAGATATCTGCTTTCCATTATGGTAGGATTAATTATTGTAATACAACAGTTGGATCTTTCTATAGAACATACTTATTGACATCAAAGTAATACATAATCTAGCTCTGTAATACTGGGAGACAGAGGAAGAGGTGGAGAGAAGCAAAGAGAGAAGGGCAGGCAGGAGGAGGAGAGGGGAGAGGGAAGAGTTTGTTCCTGACCTATGTGATATGTGACATCATTGTATGATGAATTATTAATTAAATTATTAAATTTGCAACCACAAAGTAACTTAAAATAGACAATTTACACATCTATCCTATTTAATTTTTTTCAATGGTCTGGAGTATTTATTTCTCACATGGTTGCTTGATCTTGCATTTAACAGCATGATTGTACTTTTTTTGAATTACTTTTTATTTCACGTCCAATGCCAAAAAATATGAATCTGCTAAGCAAATAGAAGGAATTGATTATTTTTGTAAAAAGATTGTGAGTATTGCTCAGGGTTATCCCAATATAGTATAAAATCCATAGATATCAGACAGAATCCATGAAACATAGATGAAAACTAAATACTATTCTTTTCCTCTTATTGAGAAGTGAGCATCTGTTTCAGTGCCTCAAATAAGAGCTCTGGAACTACTGGGAAAGCCTTTTCCATCGTGTGTTCATACCTTTGACCTTACTTTTTCTCCACAATTTTTTACTTTGAAATATTTCTCATATGTGGGCATACTTTCTTACAATGTGTAACAATACCTCTCTTTAATTAAATACTTCTTTTTTGTATGAAATAAGTAGCAAAGATTTGCAGTTGCTTTCATTACCTGATTTCCTTTATCTAGAGATCTATCTCAATAATTGAATCCATGTCTCTTTTTCAAATGGTCCATAAAATCATGAATCCTAAATTAAATAAAAACATTAAAAATATCTACCAATAATTTATTTGTATTAGCTTCTTTTATCTTTCCAGTTAAATTACCACAGTTCTTAAGTGCCTAAATGTGACTTTCAAGAAAACTAATGATGTGTCTTATTACTACTTTTTTAATAGATTGAACTTCACCAATTTAAAATCTACTGTAACTCAAACTTCCTAGCTCAAGAAACATGTTGCGAAATATCAGATACTAAGGTAAGTTAATTTTTTCGGCTTGTGAAGAATATAGAATGCCAGTTGCCTAGTCTGTAGAGTGCACATGTAGGACAGCACTGAATATCTTCTGTGAACCCGGTGAGTAATTTGTTCCAAGTAAGAGACCCCTCATAGCGCTCTCACATAGTTTCTTTACACAATTTGAATCCCAGTGTTTTGTGTTGAACTTTGGGAATGGTATGTCCTTACTTTGGACTCAGCATAAATAAGAGAGAATTTATGACTTTCTCCCTAAACTGTGTTCTGACAGTAGCATCATTATTTTCCAGGGGCAGAGATTTTGAAATCTGTGATCATACCTTTTTCTTACTCATTTTCTTCTAGCCTGTCATCCATCCTGGATAGTTTTCTTTTGTGATAGATTTTTTAAAACACTTTATTTATTTGAGAGAGAGAGAGTAAGAGAGAGAGAGAATACACAGAGGGGAGGGGCAGAGGGAGAGGGACAAGCAGGCTCTGCACTGAGCAGGGAGCCTGATGCGGAGCTTGATCCCAGGACCCTGGGATCATGACCTGAGCCGAAGGCAGACGCTTAACCGACTGAGCCACCCAGTCACCCTCTGATAGATTTTTCATCTCCCTTTTCCCTGTTACTGACCTGGTCCACCTTTATCTCATGCCTAGATTGTTGCATTATCATGTCAACTGCCTTCCCCGTCACTAGACCTTTTTCTTTCCAGCATAACCAGAGTAAGTCTCTGAATCATTGCTTTGTATATGCATTTACTTTTTCTCACTAAACATTAATTATTCAAAAACATTGATCTTCTAGACATTGTGCTAAAGAACAAGGTAATAACAGACATGAATAAGGCACATTCCCTGCCCTCTATTCATCTCTTTCTCAAAGCCTTTGGTCATTCCCTTTTGGCAACAAAACATAAACTCAATTACTTAGCCTCCATTCTTAATATTCCCAACCTAACTGTACAACTGTTGCTTTCTTATACCAATCTTCCATTTAAAAAAATTCAGTACTTTTCCTATCTCTCATTATAATGGTCATGTGTGCTATCTTATATTATTAAATTTAGTTGTATTTGTTTTTAATTTATTCAACTGCATTTTAAACTCATTGAGGGGAGTTATACTTTCATGCTCTTCTTTTTAATTCCTAGTGCTTTGTTTGTAGAAGATAGTCAAAACATTGTCTCTTGACTTGTTGACTTATCAACTATTAAAGGAGGTAGATGGTACAAAAAGGTGTTTAAAAGGGACTAACTCAATAAAATCTTACAGAAAAAACATATGAAAAGTAAAAGGTGAAAACATTTTTGTTTGCATTTTAGATTTCCCAGAAGTTTTATACTTGCCATCCAATATGAAAATTTTATTGCTAGTTTAGTAATTCAAAAATATTTTTAACTTCTGTCACTCACTGTGAGTAGTAGAATAATAATGTGACTGATTCAAAGCATAGCTACGTTTCTCAAAATTATTTGTTTTGCTTATGTAAAAGTTGGTTTTATAAAGCATATCGCCAACCCAGTTTATGGCTCTCATTCCAAGTAAAATGAAAGCCAGCCAAATATTTTTCTATAAATATCTAAAAAGATAATTTATAATGTCAATCTACAGACTTGAAATACCTAGACTTCCTGGAGCCACATATTTAAATTTTGAAGACGTTAATTCTCCAAAAGTTTTTTTTTTAATTAATTATTCCCTTAGGATGTAAGAGCTCTTAAACTAATAATTTTTCCTGGTTGAAAAGTAACATAACAATGTTTTGATATATCTAAATACTGTATTTTTGACCAGTACGTTTTACTCTGTATCATCACATAATAGATATTTTCAATTCAAGTTATGAGAAAACCGTTTAAGGAAGTATAGGTGATGGATTTGATGGAGTGGTTTGATTATTAAAAGCAATAACATAACCTCACAAATTATGGAAGAAAAATTAATCATATCTTAAAAAGATTATTTAGGAGTAAAATTGTGGAAAATAAGGTAGGAATTCATCTTTGACTAAGGAAAAAATAACAAAAGCCTGCTTATTTTCCTGCTGATAATTATTTGAAGGGACATCACCATTCTGTTAATGAGTAGCAGAAAACAGAAACATGCTACATTTTACAAATGGAAATGTATAGCTTGAAAGATAAATTGTATGAAAACCATTTAAGTGCATCTGTTATAATTCTGACACAAACTTTTTTTTTTGAAAAATGTGTTGAATTCAGAAAATTTTAATGTGCTTGTTTAAAAATTTAACTTTATCCTGGAATTTCAAATTAGACATGTTTCTTGTAGTTAATACTTTATAGCATGGTCAAGGGTGAAATTTATTCAAGATCATCTGTAAATATACTTCTGTTCTTCTATTAATTAGATTTTCTATTTCTGTAAAGTTTCATGACTACAGACATAGACAGAAGAAGAAAATCAGCAACATTTGTTGAAAATAAATGAGAAATGTGATTAAAATTTGTAGGGCCAATTAACTAAATATGCATCAAATCAAAACCAGGGGTTTTATGAAGGGAAGAGTCCTTTGTACATTTTTATGTTCCCTTTAGGCACTTTTTGGAGAGTGTGGAAAGTTTTATAGTGAATCCTGAGACATACTTTTTTTAAAGTCATTTAAATCCCCAATTTAATATAGTAAATTAGTTATCCAGACCAAAATTATGAACTCAAATTCGGTCTTGGTCATCTAAGTGGTAACTGGTAGAGCCGGAAGTCGCTGGAAAATCATATCAAATCATATGAGATAAATGGACTATTCTGTTGATAATCACATTTCATTCTAATATGACTTTTAGACTTGTGGACTTGGAAATTTACTAAGATAACAGAATAGCTAATTATTAAATCTGGAGAGAGTAAATGTGATAGACCTAGGGTGGACACAGAAAACTAGTCCCAGTGTTTCTTCTGGGTGTTATTTTTCTTACAGTTTTTGTTGTTTTCACAAGCATTAGAGTGCTACCCATTTTTTTCAAAAGAATTTTTTGTTTTAAAAAACAGTCAGTTAAGCGTCTGCCTTCGGCTCAGGTCATGATCCCAGGGTCCTGGGATCGAGCCCCACATCGAGCTCCCTGCTTGGCGGGGAGCATACTTCTCCCTCTCCCTCTGCTGCTCCCCCTGCTTGTGCTCGCTCTCTCTCTGTCAAATAAATAAATAAAATCTTTTTAAAAAAAATTATGTATGTTTATTATAGAAAACTTGGAAAATACAGCCAAATTCAAAGAAGGAAGTAATTATCAATGGTAGTCTCACCATAATAAATAACCACTGACAATCTTTTAGTTTTGTATCCTGACAATACTTTTCCAAGCCTATTTGATTTGTAGCATACAAAGTAATGTCTGAACTCTTTCCCCTAAATTGAAAATTCAGAGTTATGAAATTGTAAGTTTATAAAATTACAAATTCACAGTTACAGACTGTGGTGAGGAGCCTGGTAAATGATGTGGAGAGGAAGGGATGTATTTATTTATCCTCCCCGTCTGGATTTATTTTTGAGAGAAAAAAAGTTCATTGCTTTGTAACTAAGTTTCACTTCATGTTATCCCACATGTTCTGAACCCACTGCTTAAGTATAAAATTCACCACTTGGTGAATTTTTGGTTTTGATTTGGTAGTCTTTTACAATGGAGACATTTTAATAACTTTAAAGGACAATGGACTTTAAAGACCAAGACTAGTATATACTTTAATTAAATCTATACCATTGTAGAGTGTAAAAAGAATTTATTTTCTACTTTTACAAGCCTTTACAATCATCTTGGAGTAAACGATGTTCTAAAAGTTCACGTTGCTTGCTTTTATTTTAAAATTTTGTTCCACAAACACGTACACAGATGTAATATGTATAACTATTTTATTGTAACAAGACAGTTATTGTTTGATATTACTGTACTCATCATAAAGTCATTTATAATAGCTTTAGACCTCCTCAACAAACCAACATTTTAGCACATTTTTAACATGTTGTCAGTGTAATAAAACACATCGGGGGCCTAGTGAAAGAGCAAAGGCATTACAAACTTTCACATACTAGTGTCAACTTCTGTCTCATTAGGAGGCAGTTCTTACAGGCAAGTTGAGTCATCCCTAGTTTTGTGGGAGCCAGTATTCAGGATGTTAGAATGTTTGGAATTGACCCTAATCATTTTTCTGGATTTTAGTGTCCAGAGCAGAATGGCTATGGAAGTACTGCGTCATCATTGTTACCTGCTCACGCCAGCAAAATGTCTGCCTATCTACCAGCAAAGCAGGAACTTCAAGACCGGTGCCAGTGCATTCCAAACAAGGTTTGCTAGTTTCAATCTATGCCCACTGAAAAGCCACTACACAAAGTGAACCAAGCCCCTTGGATGTGGCCCTGGTGCACAGAATGTGTCTTGACCTTTAGTGCTATTTGAATCAAATACATAAGCCACTCCATCACTGGGGTAGATTAAGAGAAGGGAAGTGGGAGTAGGATTTCCTGGATTTTTTTTCTGGATAGTTCTAAAGCCATCAGACTTTCTTTCCAGGCTGTGAAATATAATGGATGGAAAGTAAAGGGGGGACCCACTTATACAACAGACAAATATTGAGTACTTAGCATGTGCTGGGAATAGGCTTCCGTTCTGGGAATTCACAGTTGAAGAAAACAATGCCTGCTCTTTAACACATACACAAAGATACTCTATATAATATTTCTTTGTTGTGTACTAATACTGTAGGAAATAGGCAGAAAATATTACTTAAAGAATTTGCTTCACTTGTACCAGTATGGTCCCCTGGTCAGGAAGAGTGGTCCCATGGACCTATATAAACTTCTTTTATGACTGTTAATGGCAGTCATGAGGCTGTGCTACAAGGAGGCTTAGTGATTTCTTGATGGTGGTTTTCCTCTATGCCCATACCTGAGGAAAGGAAAGAGGGAAAGAAAAAACTAGCCCTGGTTCATAGAGCAGAATGTTCCTTAGTACTGCAACTTACTACATGCCCTTAGAGACAACACATTCAGCTACCACTTTACTCCTGGCTGGACGAGTAGATATAGGGGTGAGGTAAAAGTTTAGAGGAACCTTACATTTCTTCTAGTGACCAATACTATATCATAAGCTCCATGAGAAAGGCAAGTACAAGGTGCTGGGGGCATAGAGGAGCATCATGTGTCCCAGTCCATGGCAAGTCTCATGGAGGAGATGGTATTTGGAAGAGGGAGAGTACTGAACCTCCTGAGCAAGGGAAGGGCATTATAGCAGAGGGACCAACATCAGCTCAGAGGAGAGTAAAGCTTTATCCTACTATTGTCACCTTCATATTTATAAACTTTAGCTCAATGTGACAGAATGTTTGATAACACAGAATTCATTTTTGTTCAGGGAGAAGCAGGATTGCCAGGAACTCCGGGCTCACTTGGTCAGAAAGGGGATAAAGGAGAACAGGTAAGATACTTCAAAACACTGTCAGGATGAAAGTGGATTTGTTCAAAAGTGACTAAAAAATGCATCCATTTATGCTAAGCGAAATAAGTCAATCAGAGAAAGACATGTATCATATGATCTCATTGATATGAGGAATTCTTAACCTCAGGAAACAAACTGAGGGTTGCTGGAGTGGTGGGGGGTGGGAGGGATGGGGTGGCTGGGTGGTAGACACTGGGGAGGGTATGTGCTATGGTGAGCGCTGTGAATTGTGTAAGACTGTTGAATCACAGACCTGTACCTCTGAAACAAATAATACATTATATGTTAAAAAAAAGAAGAAAGTAGGAAGGGTGAAATGAAGGAGGGGAAATTGGAGGGGAGGCGAACCTTGAGAGACTATGGACTCTGAGAAACGTATAGTTCAACTTGTTTATTTTTCCTTTTGGTGTCAAATTTAAAAAAGATCACCAAGACCTATGTCAAGGAGCTTAGTGCCTATGTTTTCTTCTAGGAGTTTTATGGTTTCAGATCTTATATTCAGGTCTTTAATCTATTTTGAATTAATTGTGTAACATAGTATAAGATAGTGGTCAAATTTTATTCTTTTGGATATGGCTGTTCAGTTTTCACAACACCATTTATTGGAGAGACAGTCATTTCCTCATTGTATATTGTTGGCTCCTTTGTCATAAATTAATTGACCATTTATGTATGGGTTTAATTATTGTTTCTCTATTCTGTTCCATTGGTCTATGCGTCTGTTTTGTTGCCAATATTCTACCGTTTTAATTACTATAGCTTTGTGATATAGTTTGAAATCAGGGAGCATGATGCCTCCACCTTTGTTCTTTCTCAAGATTGTTTTGGCTACTGAGTTTTTTGTGGTTCCATACAAATTTTAGAATGATTTCTTCTATTTCTTTGAAAAATATCATTTTGATAGGGATTGCACTGTATCTATAGATTGCTTTGGGTAGTGTGGATATTTGAACAATATTGATTCTTCTAATCCATGAGCATAGACTATCTTTCCATTTGTGTCTTCAATTTCTTTTATTAATGTCTTATAGTTTTCAATATACATGTATTTCACCCCCTTGGTTAAATTTATTCCTAGGAATTTTATTCCTTTTGATGCAATTATAATTAAGATTTTTTTTTTATTTCTCTTTCCGATAGTTCACTATTAGTGTATAGAAACACAACAGATTTTTGTGTCTTGATTTTTTACTCTGCAACCTTACTGAGTTTGTTAATTCGTTCTAACAGTTTTTTGATGGACTCTTTATGGTTTTCTATATATAAAATCATGTCATCTGCAAATAGTGATGGTTTAACTTATCCCTTTCCAATCTGGATGCCTTTTCTTTCTTTTTCATGCCTATTGTTTTGGCTAGGACTGCCAATACTATGTTGAGTAGTTGTGATGGGATTGGGCATCCTTGTCTTATTCCTGATCTTGGAGGAAAGACTTTCAGCTTTTCACCATTGAGTATGGTGTTAGCTGTGGGCATTTCATATATAGACATTATTATGTTGAGGTACTTTCCCTCTATACACACTGTTGAGAGTTTTTATCATATATGAATGTTGAATTTTGTCAAATACTTTTCCTGCATCTACTGAGATGATCATATGATTTTTATCCTTCATTTCATTAATGTGATGTATCATATTGAACCATCCTTACATGCCTGTAATAATCCCACTTGAACATGGTGTATGATATTTTAATAAATTGTTGAATTCTGTTTGCTAATATTTTGTGAGAATTTTTTCATCTATGTTCATCAGGGATATTAGCCTGTAATTTTCTTTATTTGTGGCATACTTGTCTAGTTTTAATGTCAGGGTAATGTGGCCTCATAAAATGGGTTTGGAAGAGTTGTCTATTTTTCTATTTTTTGGAAGAGTTTGAGAAGGATTGATATTAATTCTTCTTTGGATGTTTGGTAAAATTCACCAGTGAAGCTCTCTGATCCTGTAATTTTGTTTATTGGGATATTTTTGATTAATGATTCAATCTCATTATTATTAGTCTGCTCAGATTTTCTGTTTATTATGATTCATTCTTGGTAGGAGGTATGTTTCTAGGAATGTATCCATTTCTTCTAGGTTGTCCAGTTTGTTGACATATCATTGTTCATAGTAGTCTCATGGTCCCTTATATTCCTATGGTATTTAGATTAACTTCTTTTTCATTTTTTATTTTATTTGAGTTCTCCTTTTTTTCTTGATGAGTCTACTTAAGAGTTGTCAATTTTATTTCTCTTTCAAAGAACCACCTCTTAGTTTCATTGACCTCTATTATCTTTTTAGTCTCTACTTAATTTATTTCTGCAGTACTCTGTTATTTCTTTCCTTCTACTAACTTTGGGCTTTGGTTGTTTGTTTGTTTTTCTCTAGTTCCTTGAGGTGTAAAGTTAGGTTGTTTGTTTGAGACTTTTCCAGTTACTTGTGGTAGAGTAGGCACTTATCACTATGAACTTCCCTCTTAGAATTGCTTTTGCTGTATCGCACAATTTGATATGCTATATTTACATTTTCATTTGTCTTAGGTATTTTTTTATTTCTCTTTTGATTTTTCTTTGATCTATTGATTATTCAATAGCATGTTGTTTAGTGTCCACTTATTTGTGAATTTTCCAGTTATTTTCATGTAATTAATTTCAGGTTTCATACCATTGTTGTTGAAAGAGATGCTTGATATGATTTCAGTTTCTTAATTTTGTTTGTTTGTTTGTTTCAAGTTTCTATTTACAGTCTAGTAAGTTAACATATAGGGTAATATTGGTTTCAGGAGTAGAATTCAGTGATTCATCGCTTATATATAACACCCAGTGCTCATCACAACAAGTGACCTCCTTAGTACTCATCACCCACGTAGCCCATTTAGCCCATCCTGAACCTCCCTCCCTCCATCAACCCTCAGTTTGTTCTCTGTAGTTAGGAGTGTCTTATGGTTTGCTTCTCTCTCTTTTTTTTTGTTTCCCTATGTTCATCTGTTTTGTTTCTTAAATTCTACATATGAATAAAACCATATAGTCTTTGTCTTTCTCTGACCGACTTATTTCACTCAGCATAATACACTCTAGCTCCATCCACATCATTGCAAATGGCAAGGGCTCATTCTTTCTGATGGCTGAGTAATATTCCAGTGTGTGTGTGTGTGTGTGTGTGTGTGTGTGTATGTGTGTGTGTGTACCACATCTTCTTTATCCATTCATCAATCGATGGACCTTTGGGCTCTTTCCATAATTTGGCTGTTGTTGATAATGCTGCTATAAACAGGGGGTGCATGAACCTCTTTGAATCAGTATTTTCGTATCCTTTTGGTAAATACTCATCATCAGTGAAATACAATTTCTTAAATTTATTAAGATTGGTTTTGTGGCCTAACATTTGATCTATCTTTTTTTTTTTTAAAGATTTTATTTATTTATTTGAGAGAGAGACAGAGATAGCAACAGAGCTAGCAAGAGAGAAAGCAGGAGCAGGGAGGAGAGGGAGAAGCAGCCTCCCTGCTAAGCAGGGAGCCTGATGTGGTGCTTGATCCCAGGACCCTGGTATCATGACCTGAACTGAAGGCTTAACCAACTGAGCCACTCGGGTGCCCCCCATTTGTTCTATCTTAAAAGATGTTCCATGTGCACTCGAGAAGAATATATATTTTGTTGCTTTTGCATGGAATGTTCTGATTCTGGTGGATAATGCTTTCACTTTACTCTTGATTTCATTTTGCTAGTATTTGGTTGAGGATTCTTGCATCTGTGTTTATCTGGAATATTGGCTTATAATTTACTTTTCTTGTGACTTCTCTTGTCTGCTGATGGGTCCCCACTGAAAATTCTTCCTTAGCTCCCAACCCTTTTCCTAAACAGCATACCTTTGTTGGACTAATATTAGGCAATATCCCATGCTTAGAGATTTGCCTTTCCTTTCTCCCTACCATATCAAAACGTAAATGTTCCATTTTCTATTTTTTAATGTCATATCTTTGTTAGCTAACTAGGTAAATTAATTTGTGCTAAGCTTAGGAGTTGATTTTATCACCTTTCCAATGTGAAACAGATTTGAATTCCATTCATGCCTTAACTTGGAAGTCCATGGTCCAACATAATCTAAGTGGGCTCCTTATTTTAAAAGGTGGGAGACTGATGTCTGAGCAATGCCTGATCCTTTAAAGTTGCAGAGCAAGCTTCCACAAAGGCTTTGTAAGCATTTGACTCCCAAAGGAAGGTCTGCCCACTGTAGCTTGCATGGGAACTTTAGGCACCTTAGCAGGTGTTTGAGAGAACTTTGAGGTATGATGGAGCATTTATTTTTGCCTTTTAAATCAAATTACATGGGATAACTTTACTTAATGCCATTATATGAAAATTTAAAATAATTAAAAAATATCTAGTCCTAAGGACTACTTCAATCAAACAAAATATATAAATCATTATAGCAATAGCTAGTATTTATTGAGTATTAACCATGTGCCAGACACTGGGAAGAGTGATTTAGATATGTTATCTTTTTTATTCTTAAAATTCTTCATATTAAATATTGGTATTACTATTTTATAGAAAGCAAAACTGAAGTTTAGGGAAGTTAAATTATTGCCCACGGTGAGTGGTCAAGCTGGGATCAGAACCTAGACATGTCAAATCCAGTTTGCATTTTGAAGGTTGCTCTATATTTTAAAAGCTCTTCAGTATTATTTGTGTTCTTTGATCATGGCACTTCCACTTGAAATATCTTGTTTTATCCTTATAACTTCATAAAGAATTTCAACCCAATATTTTTATCCTCATTTTGCAGCTGAGAGAACCATGCATGGGTAGGGTGGTATGCTCATGGTAACATAATTAAGAGGATTCAGAGAGTAGAAAGATCTGGATTAATTCCAGCTCTTCTCAGGTTAGTAGTATGAGCTTGGCCAAGCCACCCAGTCTCTTCATGCTTCATTTCCCTCATCTGTAAATGAGGGCGTATCATCTATCAGTTGTACCTACATCGTAAGGTTGACACAA